GAGAGTATCCTCCAACACGTCCTCACGCTACGAACGCTCGACCAAGATTCGTTCGTTATTCGTTCTTGCATACCAGCCAGTGTCTGGCAGTAACGCTCGGCGTTGACTGTCCATGTTCCAGGAACTCTATGAGCAATGGACCCTTGTGATCAAAGAAGATTAGAAGCACCTTTCCCGCTGTATGCGTGGCTTTGATCTTTTTTGGTGGTGGAGCATTGGTGAAACAGAGTATGCAGTAAGATTAAAATACGTCTTCTCCAACTTAACTTAGCCAGTAAACAATTTTAAACACACAACGTTGAATCAACGCTGAATCAACATTGAACAAACGTTTGGAACATTGATACAAAGTTGGTCCAACGTAACCTTGTTTGAGGGTTTCCTCCTAGCTGCGCAAAGCGCCCACTAACAGGGTTTGAACTCCCATATCCCCAAAATTTGCCTCGAATGCTATATGGTTCGGCGAATAAGTTATCCGATGAAAATTTCTTTTCTTTCTTGATGTCACAGAGATTTTGTATAATGAAAAAAGTGGTAAGAGTTTTAGAGGACATTGACAGGAGTCTCTCCTTTAACCCATTTAGTGCCACGGGAACTATATATAGTCGATCAAACCTATGGATCGGTCGCGTGGCACTTAAAGGGTTAAGGTGCATAAAGGAAACGTGCTTTTCGCATAGCGTGTTAGAAGAGAAGTAGGCTCGGCAAAATTGAGTATGGGGACGGATTTTAATTGTTCCACAGTGAAAAACTGAACCAGACGGATTCTGAGGCGGATTTCGGACAAACCGTGGCACAAATCATGACATGAGTGGACGCTTTGCAAAGATAACTGATTGAGCTGTCTGAGGATATAAAAACTTTCGCAGATGATGCAGAAACGGAGAATTTTGATCATGAAAAACGGTTGCAAGGCTGGGCAGTATATTTACAACAAGTCATATCCTCAGCTACCCTGATGACACAGAAGCTGTTAGCGGCCCCTGACCAAGTTTTTCATTATGAAGTTCATTATAAAGTGTGGTGTGATCCAAGTTAACCAATTGATATTACCATGAATCTCCCGACAGCACTAGCACGTAGACATTCAACAACCGTGATAGGAAGAGCTTATTGGCGGGAGACCGATCACCTTACCGATTCGTTATCAGTACTAACTTGGGCGGGGTAGGTTAAGTGATAGGTACTCGCCGGAATCAGGAATCGTGAGGTTAAACTTGGGACATGGTGAAATATTCTAGCAGTGAGGTCAATTTCTTTTGAGAAGTATATACGGCTTAGCCTAGCCAGGCTAATGGAGAGGGGGCGGGACAGATGCGTAAGACAAGGGCTGCGTTCACATAGAAAACATTAGACCCGATTATCCATATTGACTATGCCCTGGGCAAAATGGTGGGCTTCGAAGTGCTCGCAAGTTTGGAGATTCTGGAATTCGGGAAGGAAAACAGAAAGAATGTTTTGCTCAGGCAATGTGCTGAAAGGCCAATGGTCAGAACTTCTGAAGGGTTCCTGATTTTAGACTCAGTCTGAAAGGCATAATTAAAAAAAAATTTTTGTATTTTCAACTCTATTTTAAAATACATATTTTGTAATTTGTATTGGAAAAAACATTATTGGGCTGTATTTGTTTATTATTTGTAATACAATTTTCATGGGTATTTGTATTTTGTATTTAAATACTCAATCACTTGTATTTTGCCCAGCTCTGATCACTTGCCACGTTTTGCTCCAACGTGGGAACTTCCATGCTCAAACTGATATAATGAAAGCTCACACATGTGTTCTTGCAATCCATTAATCAATTCAATGCACATAGCAAGAAAATGTGACAGGGGGCAAAGGACAGGTGCCTGGTTTAAAAAGGAGGGGCTTTGACTTCCATTGGAATTAAATTGTTGGGAGATTGCTTTCACACCACATTGGATACACAGGAAATAAAATATTCTCATGTGTACTTAACTGTTTTACACACATACTATATGTGTATATGAAATCGTTGGCATTTTCTTATGTGAACCCTGTCACCAAGGGTGACAGGGTGCAGTTGACCTCCCTTATTCGTTCGCTGGGTAGCCTGATGGCAATACACAATTTGAATAGGTCAATGACAATTGCATGCATTGTACAGCAGCTGATGCTATGTTTGAGTTAGGGAACTTCAACCAGGAAAGAGTGACTGCAACTTTAGGAATGGAGTTGATTATTAGTCTGCATGTTAAATTAGAAATAAATTCACCTATCCCCATATCCAGTATTTTGCAGTAGATATGAAAGTTAAAAAATCATGTATTACAAATGTATAAATACACTTTGAAGTCCATCTATCCCAACTTAATGGAGTTGCTGATGAAGCAGGCCCAGGTGTTTCCTCTGATATTTTTGATCTTGAGCTACAACTCAACCTCAGCAGTTGGGATGTCAAACCACTCATGACAAAGCTTGGCAATGTAATCATTACATCTTGTACATAGTCTACCAAATGGTCTTCTGCCAGTCATTTTGGACTGGGAGTCTCTCTTAGACAATCTCTCGAAAGGCATGCAGTAGATTTGTTCAAACCAATTGACTTGGCATCCCTTGATCTAGAGAAGTAGTTGGTTGACCTGGAATTTCTCAAGATCTCAAGATATCAAAGGATATCTTGAGAGAATTATGACAAGAGTTTTGGAGACTTAGAGTTTCAATCCAGCACACTATATCCAGAGCTTAACTCATACAGCATACTGTGATTTTCCTTGATGGACTCAACCTAAACTATGACAGATCATGGTACCATAGATATCTTGGAGGATGGGGTATGTGAAACAAATGTCCATCAATTTACTTTAATTCTGTTTTGAAGCACAATACAATTTGCAAATATATTGTAGGAAATAATATATTACTGAAGGTAATTGATAGCATGTTGACTGCATAAGCAGTTCCACATTAAAAGGCAAATTTTGTGGATTTTATAGCTAATGTTTTCTGGATTATTGAACATATCAAAGGGAGGTTGGATACATGCAAAAAATGATGATTCACTTGCAGTCCTATTGCCCAAGGGTACTAGAAGAATATTAAGAGGTTGGTGCAGATCAAATATAGGTTAGGGAGCAGTGGGTTCACAGGCAGGCCTAATTTTAGGATATCTAATAGTGTAGCATGTCTTGTTGAATAGCTTTGAGTAGGAACATTTTCCTGGAGGCTGGAGAGAACTAGCCAAAGTGAGCCAAAGGATAATATTAGGTTGAAAACTGTGTTAACAGTGGAAGATTTAAACTGAAAGGCATATGGGAGAAATCCTTCCACATTAGTGTGCATGTACATTATATTAGGATACTCTTGGGGAACATAAGTGGTGGAATCAACTAAGTAAGTTTGAATTGGCATCCTGATTCTGGGAAAACAAGTAGAGTTTGAAGTCTAAGGAGGAGTCTCAGGAGAATGAGCACAGGACTTACCCTTCAAAAGGAGGTGCGAGTTGCCACATTATCAATACATGCTCAGGACTTTAACCTGAGTAAGTGTCTGTGATGACTAAGGGACCTTTCAGGGAAATCAGGTCTGCTATTATAGCATTGTTGAACTGACAGAATTTTTTTCAAAATGGATTTTATGTGCCTTTGTGTTGAAAGCATTGCCATGCACAAATTCCATAAGTGTCAACCAACATTGGAGCAAGGTTAACCTTGCAAGCTATTGTGCTGTTGCTGGAACAAAGCTATGCAGGGAGAAAGGAAGAAGAGGACATCAATTGAATATCAAAATGCTGTAGATGCATCTGAAAATTTAGCTGAGTCTGGACCTGCTGGTGTGTCAAAATTGAGAACTGGTGCATCTTCTCAAGCATCTGGGTTTGGTCCATTGTCACCAAAAGCCTTGGAATGCCTGAAAAACATCACAGAAGGGCTACAATGCTGTATATGGTAAATGAATTAAATCTTACCCTATATTCTGTTGCAAGTTTCATTTGGAGCGTAAGATGCACACATCTTTCGGCCTTGAGCAGAGCTTTCAGTTTCTATCATGCTTGTTCAACTTAGCTGACCAGCAGAGCTGATAAAATGTGCTAAAGTAGAATATAATTTCCTTTAAATGTAAAAAGCTGTATAAAAAACAAAGATAATTTATTCAATCTCATAAAAAGTCACAAAAGTATGACAAAGCATGAAATAATAAATATAATCATTTTGTTGCCTGCAAATGCATTTTTTGTCCCATTGGTATTTGAACTCAGGGAAACTATCTTCATTGATTGTTTTAAAAACAATATCTATTATTTCTACAGCAGGAAGCTTGCTGAAGAATCACTTGAACTACCATGTGAAGATCTATTTTGCTCAGCTTGCATCATAGATCACATTCGCAAAAATGGAGCATTCTGCCCAGAGTGCTCCATTCTGATTGAAGATGGTGACCTTCATGGAGTGGAGTTTTATCACAAACTCCTACCCATTGCGAAGCAGTTGCAGGAGATGACTGGTTTGCACGTTTCACCGTAAGATTTTGGCTTCTTTGACATTCTGATGCTTCAGTTTCTTGAGAAAAGTAACAGCTGATACTGCTGATGCCTGGGGAAATTACTTACACTTTTGAGTGAGTGCCGTTCTTTTTTTTTTGTGACCATGACTCCTGCAAGCAATAATGCCATTTCTATATGGCTGGACCCACCAACTGGGATGTTTCCATGCTCCTTTTTTTTCTAGTGATGGTTTCTCTATTTCTTTATCTGGCTCATTCCATTTCTAGTCTGTCTGGTGAATATTGTATCTCTTGATTTAGTATGCTATGATGCTTCCTGGACTACATTGGAAAGGTGCAGCCTAGGAGGTTTATATACCTAATGTAGGTTGTTTATACCATCAAGTTCAAATTTGATGAACCCCACACAAATGGGATTGGGTTGTAACAACTACAGCATGATACATGTTTATGTATGCTAAGTCAGTGGCTGTCTTGTCTCAGATATCCTTATGCTTAGCTATCCACTTCTTGAGGAGTTTTTTGATGAGCCTTATTATCAGTTATTTTAACTGAAGAATTTAACATGACCATTATCCTTTGCTTCCTCATTGCTGTTCTGTTGTAAACCAGCTGTGATGATCTCCCTTGTTATCCAAAGGAGCCATTTTATCCCCTGTGTTGTATCATCCCTATCTTATTTGTCTCACCTCCTTTGGATCCCTTTCCTACCCTTTCCATTGATACCTTGAGGATCTTCCACAGGTTACCATTTTCCCCCCTAATTATGTTATAAGCATGGGAAAACTTAACAAGGCTAAGGGAACACATACTGTATAGAGCAGGGGTGGCCAAACTTCCTGACCTTACAAGCCACATAACAAAATCTTCAAATGGCCGAGAGTCACAAGACAGACACCACTTTAAACATGCTTTCTGTAATATCAACACTCCAATTTTACATAATGATTTGCATCCTGTATGATTTGAGTGGTAAATTTGAGTGATCACACCTCTCCTAATCATGCCTTAGGCAGAGCCTAATGGTCGATCTTGCTTTCATCCCTATACCTTGTTTGACTTCCTTCATTAATAAGTGAATTCTTGCTATGCAGCATTATAAACATCAGTGTGAAATTTAGACTCTTGCTCTGCAAGTTTTAATGTCAACAGTGTTTGCATGTTAGCCCCATCACCTTTACACACTCTCTTAATCTACATCTTAATCTAGATATGCCTGCAAGTACAGATTTCTCAATGAATCAGAAAAAGTTCAGTTCAGAGTGAATGTAGTGAAAGCTCAAGTCCTCAAATAAGAGAGATATCCTTTGTTTTCTATGCTACAGTTATATCCTTTATAACAAGGCATGCACACTTTTAAGTTGCCTACAGTCCCCAGTTTTGGAACAGTAAGTATTTAATTCATCATCAAATAATACAGACTCTGTCACGAAGAATGTCAGTCTGGCGATTCTTCACCAAAATGTTTCATTTGGCCACACAGTTCATTTACATCACCAAATTCTTATTATTTTCATCAAATGATTTCACCATCAGACTCGATGAATCTAACTCCAGTTTCTCACTCAGTGTTTTCACCATAAGCCATGAAAGGATCATAAAACTTTATCAGATATGCACCAAATTATCTCTACATTTTGCATCCCAAGAGAAAATAAGGAATTTCTCATTTGACGGTCCTGCAGGGCAGACATGGGCTTTGGTCTTCTCATTTCTGTCCAATTGGAAAAGATCCAGCTTCCAAAGGAATGGTGACTTCCAGGATGTGGTTCACATTCCCAGTGAATTCCATCACAGTTGGATGAAAGCATAGATTTGCATGCTTCTATCCAACTGGACAAGTGCATTCCAAATACAGAGTTTTGACAACCCAGACAGAGAGTCTTGCTCTCTTGAAGTTGCCTCAATGCCCAAGTTTGCTGGTTAGATACTCTTGTGCACTTTTCTGAACCTCAAACCTTAAAGTTGCTAGTAGCCTTGTCACCTCTAATACACAGAAACACAGAAATTGTAATTCAGCGCTGTACTGTACTTGCATGCATGTTCACAGACACAGGGAGTCCAATTGCACATGTCCTCCCCTGAAGCTCCCAGAGGTTTGATAGGATTTTATAATCTTATCTTGCCATGACATGTCTAACCAGGATTGAAGAAGAATCCATTCCTCAATACGGTTGCAATTGCTGAAAATTTCATGTTATTCATGGTAGCATGTTTTGGTATTGGCTATTACAAATTTGGCGATAAAAGCACCTGTGATGATACAATCATATTTGGTGAAATAAATAATAATAATTTGGTGATTGACTCCAATTCTGGGAAGATTCATTGTGATCTGGTGATAGAGTCAATATTTCAGCAGGATTTCATGATGAGTTCTTTATTATTGGTGGGAGATATGGCCTTTGGAACACATGAACCACCATTGCTCTTCACCCAACAGTCCACCACAAGCAAAACTTGACCTGTCCGAGAGCCGCATGCAGCTCGCAAGCTGAAGTTTGGCCACCCCTGGTATAGAGTATTTATTAAAAAATACCACCATCCTTTTTTTTTATGGGGAAATGACCATCCTTTTCTGATGGTGTATTACATTTTGCATGGGCTCTGCTAGTGGGATTTCATCATTGTTGGAAGATTTTACTTTCATAATCTTTTACCCTTTCTCTCCAAACCATAAAATAGCCACAGATGGGATTGAATCTCATTAGTGAAAGCCATTTGAACTTACCAATGTCTAATACATCCTTACAAACCTTAGGTATTTGACATACCTGTAGATGTTCTTGATACAACTTATGGCAATGAGGTTTTGCTGCAATTTAGTGGTCATACTGCATTTTTGCTTCAGCATGGAAACCTGGGACCCAAATCTTTAAGGTCTATCCTAGGGAATTCAGCAATAGCATGGGAATCATATCGGTGTTGTGAAATTACCATAATTTGTAAGGTTCTACTTCCCCCATAAATATTCACATCTGACTTAATGATGTTCTAGTTTAATGAGAACCTTTATTCCTTTGAAATTATGGGTTTATAATTTAATAAGTTGATATCCAGGAATTTTATATACAAAGTATTAATCAGGATTTTCAGGATGATAATCAGGATCAGTCTCTGGACTCAATTTGAATCTTTCTTAAAATTTCAATTGGAATTTTTAACTGAAAGGAATCTATTGAATTCAGCATCAAAATCTGGTCTTTCTTTCCTTAGAACTCTTCTGCACTGAGCAGAAAGTAAAATAATTATAAAGCCATGTGTTCTTGAATTCCATGCTTCTGGAAGAACAGTAGACTGAATGGATGCACCAATGGGAAGAGGTTGTGACACATGCAGTACTTCAATAGTTCATATGCAATGCAGGCCTCACAATGTTCAATGCAAGTTTTGTCCAGCATTCAAAGGGGAGAATAATGAGCCAAAATATTTGAAGCATTGCACCCTCACACCAGAATCTCATGCCAAATTTGTATCATTCACATCTGGGTTGAACCAGTTCTTAGTCTTTGGAAATAAATCTGGAAACAAAAAGCATATTCCATATTTTATCAATAATTCATAACTAAATTAAAACTGCGAGTCAGATTATGTTTTCCCTGCTTTATTTTAAAGGTGTGCTGATATTTAGAAAGTAGGCAGCAATGAAAATAAAACCTGGTCTGATTTTTACCCCATGGAAATAAGTGGAGCATTTGTTTTGAAACACCCTATATCTGTTTTTGAAGAAAATTTATTAAAGTCATGAAACTTTGTTACTTCTGCTTGCAATCAATTCTTATTTTCTGTTGTATTTTCCTTGATATTTCTGTACTACTTTCAATTATCTAACTTGCATAAATGTAGGGAAAATAATTTCTGAATATTACTTCTCCTTCATCACCTAAAGGCTTCTGCTGCCTGTGCAAAGCCAGTATGATAAAGCAATAATGCTAAGATCAAAACACTAATGGAAAGTGCAGCAAACTAAATATAGCACTCACATAATGTACCCACAGTAAATTCTACTGCTTCTTTGTGTCTTGGTGCCTTGGTGCCTTGGTTAGAAAATGCTATATGTCTTGACCATCTCAGGAAAAGGCTTGAGAAACTATTACTGCTCAAATAGCTCATAATGGAACTGTAGTGCTTTACCAACACTGATGCTAAGCCAATTCATGATCCTGAAACTTTGTTTCTTTTATTTCATAGAAACTAAAACTTTCTAATGAGTATTGAAACTGCATTTTGCAGGACTTGCCCTCTATTAATTGGATAGTCCTCATGTCAGCCCTTTATATTGACTTTTCAACTGTTGTTAATGGCAGTGGCATGCATATTTACTTGTAATGTTTCAGAAGAAGGCTGAAAGGATGCATGGTTTCATCTTCAGCTGAAGCATCCTCTCAAGGGCAATCAGATGGCACTACGATTGATACTGAACTTTCAAATGTAATTGATGATGAAGCACATCCATGTGGAACCAAAGTTCATGGTAATGATGAAGCATCTGACAAGCAGCTGCTTCTCAGGAAATCTGTTCGCACTCAGCTTAGACTCAAGAAGGCAGATGATAATGTCTCAAAAGTCACCAAACTCTCAGGGCCTGCACTTCATGGCAAGATGGCAAGTAGTCCCTTTTTTATTGCTCCAGAAGAGGTCCTTTATGTGGAGGAAATGAGATGTTGTGTGGTTCAGATCTCAATTGAATTTTGTGGCCTTGCGTACCTGTGATATGTCTGTATAAATATTGAATGCATTAGGAAACAATTCCTGAGCCTTTTGGAAGTCCAAATCATCTCAAAGTCTCCAGACCTATTGTTTGAGAATCTCTGCATTAGGGGGATATGACATGTAGACCAAACCTTTCTCTGTCAGTCTCACAATAGACACCAGTGGCTCTTTTTTGAGTCAGGAACTTCTGCATGCCACCATGTATGCAATGGAAATGTTTCAGTTTGTGCAAGAGCCAATCCAAAAGTTTTCTAGGCTTTTCAAAATTTATACAAATGAAGGCCTTCTGATTCAAGCCTACTCATTAGTCAAATGGAGATTTCTAGGTTGCTCATGAAAGCATTTTCCTGTTCCATTGAAGTTTTGTGACATAGGGAAACTTGAGTGGGAACAGGTAGGAGCATCTTGTATGCAAGGATTCTTCTCATGGCTGACCTGACCCAACATCACCTTCATGGCATCTATTTCAACAATTGGAAGAGAGCATTCTCAGCTTAGGTTTGCCTTGATACAAATTTCAGGGTTTTTGAGACCAAGCCCCCTTTATGTGCAATGGTGTTCAAAGGGCACTCAAATTGAAGCTCATCTGAATCAGTTTTCCTTCAATTGAAGTGGCAGTACTAATTGATCATGATTGCATATGAAATGACTCATTCCTCTAAAAATTCAAGGTGTCACCTGAGGAGGCTCTCTTACAGTTGTTGGCTCTCTTACAGATAAAGATAGTGGTGACTTAGTTCAGCCATTGCAGAATTGAGGAGTTCTCTGAATATATGGCTAATTGGAATGGAATTGGTCTTCAGCAAAAGCAGCAAAATCTCGGTTATCTGATATCAATCTGAATACAGTTTTCAGTGATATGGTATCCTAGACTGCTCCTTATATAAACTTCAGGCTTGAAATATATTTTTTCTTTTAAGCTGGCAAAACGAAGGGAGAAACTATTTGTATACATTCACCTTTTCCATATCCACACCCTCAGCACTTCTCTAGCAACTCTTTCAGTTGTCATATTTCATTTTTAAAATAATAATTTGCCTCTGAATTCACCTCAACAGTAAGTTTTAAAATATCCTTCCTCGAAGACAGACAAGGAAAACAATAGCTTTCGAAAAAGCTTTCATGACAGTCCCTGCCCTCCACACATAAGCACCACTGCTATTCCATTTTATTTCAGGTCTCCTTCCATAGATTTGCTAGTCATTCTTCTTCCACTTTCCTCCCCACAAGCAGCCATAATGAGACAACTGGATACCTGCTTGCCAAATAGCAGGAGCATGGAGTAAATTGCTTTACCCTTGCTACAAACACATCTGAATCATCTCAAGATTGCTCTATCCTGTTTCAAGTGTTGTAAAGTAGCACCTGAGCATGGATATGGAAAGGGGGCATATTGACACTTAGACTCTTTTTCTAGAGAACTCCTCAATTGCTGTTCACAAGATACCACTACCTCCTTCTACTGAAAGTGCTTCAATACCACTGCATGTCAACAGAAAAGGATGAAACTTGCTCTAGCAACCTAGAAGTGCATTCTACAAATGAATGGGCTTGAAATCATCTTCATTTGTCACTGGAAAGTTTAAAAATTTTCTGAGTGACCCACATGAGCTAATGTGGACAAATTCAAGGTGTACAGGGTGCTCCATAAGTCCCTTGAACCCCCTCCCTCCCCTTTTTTTCTTGTTTCAGGTGAATTATGGTCAGGATTTTTGCAGATATGAGTGACCGAGGCTTAGAAGAGCATTTAATGATGAGTTTTTGGCCGCATTAAAGCCAACAAAGTGGAAAAACATGATACAGACACATTTGTTTGTGGACTTTCAAATCTGATTTGGCAAAAATCCTCTACAAAATGTCTCATTGCACCTGGTGCCTCATCATTCTGGGTTCAAAAAATGATGGCACTCATACTGATCCCCTTGATCTCCAAATGATCCCTAGTTTCTCAAATGTGGGTTATTAAATGTTGTTTCAAATGGCATATGTTTTAATTTGCTGCCACTACTCTTCACTATTATTCCCAAGAAAAAAAAGGGGGAGGTGTCAAGGGATTTATGAAACACCCTGTAGAATATCATGAAATACCCAGGTAAGATTTAGCAAGTGTTTAATTTGGTTTGTGAGGTTTATTTTCATTTTAACAATTGCAAAGGTATTGGGTTGCTGTGATTTTTCTCTGATAACCATTGGGTCATTGTATTCAGAACCTTGGGTCATTGTATTCAGAACCAGCAAATGCCATTTGCTCTCAAAATACCTCCTGTAAATGAAAGGATGGCACCATTAATCCTGAGGGAATGTATTAGCTAAAAAGTGTCTTGTGGAGAAGTAGAGCTCAAAGGACAATGCATTAACCATTCCCTGGTGTTGATGTGATAGTATGTCAGTGTTCTCAACATGTTTGGATATCTCTGCCAGGGAACAGGTTAATAGTTCATTTTGGTGTGGCTATGAAGAAGGTACTCATCTAATTTATTCACTTTTCATACAGACTATACAGACTCATATCATGATTTGGACAGGTTGGGCGCAAGAATAGAAGACAGTCTGAAGTATTTGTCAAGGCTCAAAAGAAACAATCATCTGTTCAAGATTCCCCCCAGGAAGGAGTAAATTATCATTCATCTCCCAATGCCATCAGAGGACTAACCCCTGATAAAAAGAAATGCACACAACTTGGGAAGGGCCAATCCAATAAAACAAGATCAAGTGGAGGAGCATCTCTTATCACAAGTTCCTTCTCCCCAAAGTCTCCTCCTTTGAGGAGAAATGCCAAGGGTGAAACAGTGCTTCATAAGGCTGCAATTACTGTAAGTATCACTTCTGGAATGAAATCATTATCTTTTCCTGCAAATGATGTGAGTAATGTTAATGACTTTTTCATATTTAGAATGATGTCAAGCAAGTAAGCACCCTCCTTGAGGAAGGAGTTCCACCAAATGTCCAAGACAATGCAGGCTGGACCCCATTGGTAATGAATACCTCCAGAATTGATTTGACAGAAGCAAGTATGGTATAGATACTAAAACATCTCATCTGATGCTGCTACTCTTAGCATGAAGCAGCTCTAAGAGGCTTTGTGGATGTGGTGAAAATCCTCATCGATAATGGAGCTCTTCTAAATGTGCCAGGAGGTCCTGAAAATGACACCCCCCTTCATGAAGCAGTTGCAAATAACCATATTCCTGTTGTGGAGTTGTTGGTATCTCGTGGTGCAGATATTGGTGCTAGAAACAAGCAAGGAAAGACTCCTATGTATGTTCTCTCATCCACCTGTAGACACTGTAATGCCAGGTCATGCATTCCTTACCCTTACTCAGTTGATACCTTGTGTAATGTCTACCCACCCAGGGAACATGCAAGAACAACAGTGATGAAGGCAGCCTTGTCAGTCAAGTCTCCTCTACACAGTATTCCTGAAAAAGCTCAAGATGGACAGCTGGTCCCACTCTTCTTTGGCTACAAACTGTCAATGGATAATAAGAATGCACTAAAGCAGTTGATCAAGAATCTTTCTGGGAAGTGGACTAGTATGACGTTAGTTTTATTATCCAGACTATTCAAACTAATCGCATTACTCTGTATGAAAATTGGGGTCGAAAAAGTTACTGACATGATTCTCAACTCCATATTTTTCAGACCTGAGGTCTGCATTGTTGTGCTGGAATCTGATGAGAATGGCCTTTGTTCACGGAGCTTCCCTTACTTCCAGGCTATTTTGCAGGGGAAATGGATTGTGCAGCCCACATGTAAGAGATCATCATAATGATACTAGATGTAGACATAAGCCTTGGTGCCCTGAGAATAGATAATGGGAGAGGTTGATGTGCAGAAATATTAGGTTGTTCCGAAATAAATGTCCGATTTTCGAAGTGTAATGTTTTGTCTATACCTGTCAATTTTGCGATAACCAGTTATTGTTATATATCGTTTTTTTTCAGCAAACCTTTCTCTATGTAAGCCACTTAGTTGTTTTTTATTTATCTTTAGCATAACATTCCTGTAGCTGCCAAAGCGAACGATGGAGAAACACAACTTTCGTCCGATTTTTCTTTACAAGTTCAAACTTGGAACTAATGCTGCCGAAACGGCGAATAAAATCAACACTGCGTTCGGCCAAGGATCGGTCACGGATCGCACCATTCGACGCTGGTTCGAAAAGTTTCGTAACGGAGATGAGACTCTCGAAGAACAGGAAGGTAGAGGTC